GTCAAACAAGTGAATTTTTAAATAGCCAACAAAAAAAAAAAAAAAAGGGTTAAATATTGATTAGTCAAGAGAGGTAAGTCTTTGTTTAAGAGGTGTGATGGGTTTCCTAGCTGTTCCACCTAAGACATATTGATTGCAAGTTTGCTTAAAGATTAAACTTACTTATATCTTCTTCTCTCTGTGTGTGTGTCTGACTTAGAGAAGCAATGATGATGGTGAAGCTGTTCATGTTTCTTAGCTTTGGTGGATTGTCAATGTGTGAGGTGTTTCTTGTTGGAGACGAAGAAGGCTGGAACTCTGGCATCAATTTTGCTACCTGGTCTCAAAACCACAATTTCACCAAAGGAGATTTTCTAGGTATTCACCAACTTCTCTCTCTTTCTTCCATCCGAGTAGCTTATAGTTCGTGCGAGAGTGTTTAAACTTCTAACCTCTTTGTCGATGGATTAGTTCATTTGTTGATTGAAACTGTTGAGTGCTAGTGATTGTGAGATTCTACGTCGGTTGGAGAGGGGAACGAAACATTCCATGTAAGGGTTGTGGAAACCTCTCCTTAGAAAACGTGTTTTAAAAACTGTGAGGCTGATGGTGATACGTAATGGACTAAAGGGGATAATACTTGCGGTGGGCTTGGGCGGTTACAAATGGTATTAGAGTTAGAAATTGGGTGGTGTGCCAATGAAGACGTTCGGTCTCCAAAGGAGGTGGATTATGAGATTCCACATCGGTTGGAGAAGGGAACGAAACATTCCTTATATGAGTGTGGAAACCTCTCCTTAGCATACGCGTTTTAAAAATTGTGAGGCTGACGACGATACGTAACTGGCCAAAGCGGATAATATCTACTTATGGTGGGCTTGGGCGGTTACAAATGGTGTCAAAGCCAAACACGGAACGGTGTGCCAGCGAGGACGCTGGGCTAACAAGAGGGATGGATTGTGAGATCCCACATTGGTTGGAGAATGGAACGAAGCATTCTTTATAAGGGTGCGAAAACCTCTCCCTAGCATACACGTTTTAAAAACCGTGAGGCTGACGACGATACGTAACTGGCCAAAGCGGATAATATCTACTAGTGGCGGGCTTGGGTTGTAACAAAATGGTGTTAAAGCCAGACACCCAAACGGTGTGCCAGCGAGGACATTGGGCCCCCAAGGGGGATGAATTGTGAGATCCCACATCGCTTGGAGAATGGAACGAACTGTAAGGCTGACGGCGATACATAACAGACAAAAGCGGACAATATCTTTTAGCGGTGAGTTTGGGCTGTTACAAATGGTATCATAGCTAGACATCGGGCTGTAGCCAGCGAGAACGTTGGGCCCCTAACAGGATGGATTGTGAGATCCTACATCAATGGAGAAGAGAACGAACCATTCCTTATAAAGGTGTGGAAACTTCTCCCTAGTAGACACAACGACGATACGTAATAGACCAAGATAGATAATATCTGCTAACAGTGAGCTTGGACTATTACAATAACTTTGACGTAACCTAATCTCTCAAGATTGAATATGTAGGAAGAGAGAAAAACATACTCTTAATTCGATTACCGATTTAGCTTTTAACGAGTTTGGTTTTTCGTGTAGTTTTCAATTATGCAAAGAGTGTACACAATGTGTATGAAGTTACTGAGGAAACATTCAGATCATGCGAGACAAGTAATGGAGTATTGGGTGAATATGAGAGTGGAAACGATCAAATTGAGCTGAAAGAAGCAAGGAAGTATTGGTTCATATGCAATGTGGCTGGTCATTGCTTGGGCGGGATGAGGTTTGGAATTGATGTCAATGAAGCCAATTCTAGGAGCCATCTCCCACTTAGTCCTGTTCAATCTCCTCCCCCACCCACTAACCATGCCTCTAACCATGGAAGCTATGCACTATGGAGCACTTTTATGTGTATTATAGCATTTCAAACTCTGTTCGTTTGACACGTCGATATTTATTGTTCGGTTTCTCCTTTTTAGAATAGTGTCGGTAGTGCAGTTTGGAGATTTGAGTTCTTGACTTGCAATAGAAGAATGTTATCGATGTCTTAACTGTTTCGAGGGTTGTTCAAATTTGTTACTTTTGACCGTCGTTGAATGAATACGAGATTTGAATTCTTGACTTGCAACAAAAGAATTTTACTGTTTGTTACTTTTAACTATCGTTGAATGAACAACGTATCGTCGTGCTGTACTTTGACGTCAAATTGTTCTCTCTCTCTCTCTTCAAATTTGTTTTTGAAATTTTTCGCCCTAGAGGTATGGATATTACGACCATGAGGTTTGGAAATTCGAGTATAGATATTACAGTGATGAGGTTGAAAAGTCGAGCTTTTGACTTACAACTGTGTCTTAACTGTTTCTAGGGTGGTTTAGGTTTGTAAATTTTCTTCATCGTTGAATGGATAAAGAAAAATACATTTAGCTATTGTGCTCTATTTTGATATCAAATTTTTCTCTTTTCATACTCGTTCTTAAAAATTTCTCAAGTATAAATATTGCAGTGGTAAGATATGGAGCTCTGAGCTTTTGACTTTCAGCAGAAAGATATTACTAATGTCTTAGCTGTTTTGAGAATTGTTCGAATTTATTACTTTCGATCATCGTTCAATGAATAAAAGAAAAACTAAGCCTTTAGAGCAATTCCGCTCTACTTTCGTATAATAACTTTTTATCTCTCTCTTAATACTCGTCCTTGAAATTTTTTGTCTAAAAGTAGAGACATTACTGTAGCGAGGTTTGGAGGTTCGAGCTTTTGACCTGTAACAACAAAAGGCTATGGCATCTTAATCATTTTGAAAATCAATTATGTTTGTATCGTCGTTGAATGGATTAGAGAGAAATTGAGCGGAATTTTTAATTAAAAGATATTTCATTGTATATTTTAATTATTTAAGGAATGGAAATTAATTAATTAATGTAATAAATTTATATAAATACAAGTGGGTGGGTGATGTAAATAATAAATAAATAAATTGACATTTTTTTTTTAATAGAGACGATAAGAGAAAGTCGTGCAAGCAAGAACTATTGATATTCCAAAATTCACTTCAACTTGCATATTTAAATTATTATAAATTAATGCTTTATTATAGAGTTGACTTTTAGAATTAGTTAGAGTTGACCAATCGAATGAATGGTCAACATTTCAAATATATTTAAAAATACGTGTTAAAATATAATATTTTTTTTATTTTTTATTTTTTGAATTTTAAATTTTTTTAATAAGTTTTCAAACGTTCGAGATTGTAGTGTAATTTTACCGATCGTATATAAAATTTTGACTTTGGGACAACGAAATAAAATTTAATGTAAACATTGAATCGAGATATAAATGAAAAAAAGATGATTCTCGATTTAAAGAAAATTTAAAATACATGCAATTTAAATAAATAATTTAACGACTTAAAAGCTTAGAATAAAGTTAGTATTAGTTTGATTCTCTAATTCTAACATTCTGCTCGAGATGTCTCGTGATTGACTTCTCAATTTTGCTCATCACTTATGTAGGACGGTCTCTTGCTCATATGACTAATCAAATGAGATCGGGGGAGCTTAGTGGTTAATTACCTGAAAACACACCCTTTATAATTTTTTCACTCAAACTATTTTCAGCAATCACTCTTCAGAGTGACTATTAGTGGTTGGTTACCCAATCACATAGCGTGTAACTCTTACCATATAAAAATTAACATGATTATCAATGGTTGATTATTTGATTCACAAAAACGTGAGATCCAATATCGGTTGGAGACGAGAACGAGACATTCATTATAAGGGTGTAGAAACCTCTCATAGTAGACGTGTTTTGATATTGTGAGATTGACGACGATAGATAAGAGTCAAAACGGACAATATCTGCTAGCAATGAGCTTGAGTTGTTAGGGTTAAAGTGAAAATCATGCATCTGGGCAAGTCGCTCACAGAGTGATTGGCTCGACCAGATCGCTCACACTGTGGTCGACTCGTTATAGTTAGGAGAGAATTACTAAGTTTGATTATAATTTCTTTTTACTAGTAGGTTCGATTTTTTAAAAGTGTTGCATCAATAATATACACTTTTATAACCAAATAAGTAAGGATCATAAATAAAAATTTGACTTTGGGACAATTATTAAATGAAAATGTATTATTACCATTGATTTGTTTCACAAACTGGATTAGGAATGGTAATATAATACATACGTTATAAATATCGTTTTTTTTTTAGTTTAATATTTAAAGAGAGGAAGCGGAGAATATTTTCTGGAGCTAGAGAGAAATTATTTTCCCTGTCCTCATCCTGCCCCGCTCAATATAAATATAATTATATTATTTAAACTAAAACTACTTTGTAAATAGTTAAAAATTATTGTGTAATATTAAATTTTAAAGAAAATTATGTTGATATGAGATATATAGAATTATCACGATTTTTTATATATTTTTTTAATAAAGATTATATTAAAAAATGGAAAGTTTTAAAAAAATAATCAACATGGAAAAATCATCTATAATCTTGTCCATCTTGTCACAATTACGCACAAAATCATCTATAATCAACTGACCATCTTGTCATAATTGCACTTTTGATGTAGCAGACTTGCGATTGTGTGACACTCACTTTTCTGAGCAACAAGTGAATTAAGCCAATTCGTTCTTGCGTCGTCTACGGCCAAGTGACGTATGCTCGAGCCTCTGGCCCCGGTTCAAGAAGAAAGCTTTAGAAAACGGAGGCAGAGAAATTTCGAAAGAGAGTTTTGAAAGTAAGATTTGAAAGATTGAAATTGGTGTTATATGTGATGCAAGCAAAAAGGCAACGACGGCTTACAACATATAACTATTGGGTAAGGAGGACGTGATTGGTTAGTTGGTGTATGGTGTGAATTTGAGTCCATAAGGGAGGTTTATAATATCATTAACTTAATTTTTAATAATTTACTAATTTAGTATAAGTTTAATAGAAAGTTTAGGTTTATTTTATATAATAATAAATCAATTAAACTTTTAAAAAATCAATTTAAAAATATAAAGTGAGAAAAAGTTCGTTTTTAGAGACCGAATTATTTGACTGCAATTCAACAAACTTGACCATAAACCCAAAGCAACTGATCGGGATCGGAAACTAAGAGAAAATGGAGGCAAAATTCAGTTCATACGATGATGATTTTCTAGAAAATGGAATTACGAGTCTTCATTTCTTGTTCTCTGTGCGCTAAATTTCCTGAAGAATCGGAGCCAAATGGCGGAGTCAAACAATGGAGCCCAATGTACTTCCATTATCAGACTGTACCAACAACCAAATCGGAGCCAAGGTAACTTTCCACGCTTTCTATTTAATGGCATTTCCACTTTCTACCTATAATTCCGACCAACTCTTCACAAGTGGAGCTTCCATCGCCACTTCTTTCTTATCTGAAAATTCTGTCTGAGAGAGTTCATTTTCTTTTTCTTCTCTATATTAGGTCAGATTTTCATCGGTCTTGTAGAACATCGCTGTTGGTAGGTAGATTAGAAGAACAGACAGTTTGCGATATCTCGAGGTGTTTGTTTGAATAGTTTGCCAGGGAAACAGGACTTTGATTAATCAGGTTCCTCGCTGTTCCCTGACCATTAATTTGTTCTTGCTGTTCTATATTGTTTACTGTTTGACTGGTTTAAGTTATAGGGTTTAGATTTTCTGTGTGGTGGTCTGCTCTGCTGCTGAATATCATTTTTCTTACGTTTTTGAGGTCTTTGTTTGATAATCTGGGAATGGAATGATCTGTTCATGGCATCTTGATTCATAGTTGGAAAATGAAAATGAGGGCTACTGTGCTGTGAAGATTATAAACTTGATCAATCTTGGGCTCTCTCACAGGTTTTCAAATGGCTGGAAAAGGAAATGAACGTTTAGATTGTACACATGCTTCCAATCCTTACCATGTCTGCTTTGAACACTGTTCTGAAAAGAAAGGTGAAAGCAAGAAGCAGATAGCTAGAAAGTATTCAGGTTCTTTAGCTTTACTCTTCATTCATTCATTCATTGTAAGCTAATTTTCAAGCATTAGTTCAAAACTGCCTTGGTTTGTTTCTGAAACTTGTAGCATTTTGGCTGTTGGGTTCGCTTTATGTAGCAAGATTATCTGAACATAGGTTATGATTTTCTTTAGTTCAACAATATGAGGTGGAGTGATTCGAACCTTTGTCCTTCTGGTCTAGGATTGTGAGATCCCACATCGGTTGGGGAGGAGAACGAAACATTCTTTATAAGCGCGTAGAAACCTCTCTCTAGCAGACACATTTTAAAACCTTGAGGGAAAGTTGGGAGGGAAAACCCAAAAAGGACAATATCTACTAGCGGTGGGCTTGAGTCGTTACAAGGATATATGTCTTGATGAGTTAAGTTATGCTCAGATTGGCATGAATCTCGTATTTATTAAAACTATCAGCCAAATATTCACTTATCATTTCATCTATCCAGCTTTTTTAAATGGCAATCACTAACATCAACCGACAAGTTAAGACTTGAATTTTCTGGAGATGTTCAAAATCATGGAACATCTTAATAGATTCATTTTCTTGCGTTGTGTAAATTGACGAAGAGTATGACTGAAGTGAAAAATATTTCATTGTCTCCTTCACCCCTCTTTATGAAGGCGATGGTGCGATGAAGTATAGCGGCGAACGCAAAAAGACGGTTCGTTCAGATTGCACTAATGGATCGAATCCTTACCACAACTGTAATGAATTCTGCTCCAACATAACCACTCAATCTGGCAGGCCAAGGGCAGAAAGGGATTCAGGTATTTCCCTTTGACTCGGCTCTTTTTTCCCCACGAAAAGGAACCATGATAAGTCGTGATCATCGCAAACTGTGTAAGGAAAGTTATGCAGATTTGATAGGCAAGTAACTGTTATTATAATACATAAGAAGTCAAAGCAAAGAAAAAAGTGATATTTGTCGCTTCTTCCTACTCGGTTTATATGCTATCAAAACCGTTGTTGTTGCCTAATCGTTTTTAGCTTATAACATTGCTTGTTTTCAACATATTTCCTCGCTCACATTTTTTAAAACATTTCTCTCAAATGTGACTTGAGGCTGACGTTGTCCACAAAATCTGAATTTCTCACGGCTGACTTGTTCACTGGGTTAGCTGCAGA